TTGCCTCAGTATCCTCATCTGCAAAATGAGCTGGAGAAGGAAATGGCAAACCACTACAGTATCTTTGCCAAAAAATCTCAAAAGGGTCACATAGAGTCAGACACAACTGACATTCCTAGGGTCTAACAATGTAATAGATACTTAATAAATATTTCTTAAATTGATTAGAGAGCGCCCTTATGTAATTGTAATATGTAATGAATGTAATTGTAATGTAATATGTAAATGTAATATAAAATATAATATGTAAATGAATACATAATTGAACCGCAGAGAGAATACAGAATCACAGTTTACATGATTTGTTGACCATAAAAAAAGCATTTGATATGGTAGATAAAAACGCCACCTTAAAGACTCTCCTACAAGGAGTCCCCAGTGCATATATCAAAATCTTAAAGGAATTTTTTAAAGATATAACAACACAGATAACTTTGATGATCTATGATTACTGGTGTTCAATGAGGCATACAGCAAGTAGACATATATACTTGCCAGAGGTATTGGCTGCTGCCATGGAGCAGGTTTAGGGGGTTTCCCCATAGATAGTGAGGTCCTCTAGATATTTCTGTTTTCACATGACACTGTACTGGTTGTATAAAGTCCCAAGAAATTACAAAGCCTCCTAAAGAGGAGAGCAATAAACGCTCAAAAGTATTTGGCTTAACTATCCCTAGTTAGAACCAAATGGATGAATAGTGTCTGTTGTTAAGATTATGATATGAAGTTGTATGGATAACCCATAAAGCTTATCTCTATGAAGAATGAGCTGTGCCCAAAACTGAATAGAAACAGGAGTGTGAATTGGATTTCGGCCAAGAATTTGCAGAGATGTTTTAATGTCCTCAAGCTTCTCTCCAAAAAAGGGCCCATATTTTTAACACTAATATTCTTCTCATGATGATATATGACTGCAAGTCATAATATGCTCCAATTTCTGGAGAGCTAAAGTTGAGGCTCACCCGAAGGGCAGTGGCAACAGACCATGATGAAAGGCAGGAGCCACTGCATGTTGAAAATGAAGAGTCATTAAGAAGTATGGGGTAAAGGATGCCATTGATGGAAGTGGATGATGAGAAGAAAAGATGAAAAGGTCAAATCACAAGAGGGCATGGAAAGCTCACGTGCCCTATTGATAATCACCTGCCATCAAGAGAGCTTGAGGAAGAGCTCCATCACTTTGAGTGGACCCCTTGTGGCATATTTATAGGCAAACATTCCAGGATGGCAAGAACAGAATAGGGAGTACCCAAATTGATGAGATTACAGGTCTGAATAACATCCTTATTCTCCTTAGAGTATGTAGAGGAAGGAAAAAATATTGCATCCAGCTAAAAATGCATGCAAGGTGAAATGTAGAGTAATAGATTTGGAGTCAATGAATTTGGGTTTCAGCGTTGACTCTTACCTCTGTAAGCCTCAGTTTCTTTACCTGCAATATAAAGGGTTTGGACTAGATGACCCCCAGGGTCCCTTTCAGTTCTAAATCTATGACCCTAAGAACCACAAATCTCCCCCTTTTCCAGCTTTAAATCTTATCATTCCATGAAATGACTTCTTCATTGGATACACATATAAGAACAATTTAAGTAACAATTTTATTCACAAATAAAAAAAGCATCACACAACTATTTATACAAGAAAACTATAACTTATGGAATTTAAAAAAATGTCTCATATGCAAAAAAAAGCAATGATGCAAACTAAATTCATTCAAGATGACACCCTCAAAGTGGCAATGGATGTTTTCTACTGGCACAGACCACAGTGCTTGACCTAAACAACATAAACAATAGCAATTCAAAGTAGAAAAATCTATTTTTAAAAAATATGTACAATTTACATTAAGGGAGGAGGGGAAAATCCTGTGCTTTAATTCAGTAATCTCAATAGACACTTCATTCTTTGAATGAATTTCATACATAAGAATGTTCAAGGGTATACTAGTAAATGTTTAACAGCCAGGTCTCCAAAACAAAAAAATAAGTATGCATGACACACTTTAAAATTTAATCTGCATTATCAACATTTTCCCCATCACTTTATTAAGTCTAGACAATCAACAAAACAATAAATCAAGCCCTGAATTGTAGCATTTACTTATTTCCAAGGTGTAAATGCTCACACTGAAAATTGAATAATCGGCTCTTGAGAATTGGTTCAAATTGGCTCCAGCACACCCCCAATGCCATTGAACCAAAATGAGCACACTGACTAAACTCCACCAGGCTACGTGCTTTAAATCATGAATTATCTGAATTTATGGCACACATACCCTGAAAGGTCAATCTGTTGACTGCTATGCAACATTCCAATAATATCTTTAGGAATCTGAAGTGTGCACTGCATTTCTCTAAAATATTAACTAAGCTCAAAGAGTCAGCAGAACATTATCGTTTGCTTCTCCAGCAGGTGGTAATGAAATGGCCTTGCAACCCTCTACTGATCAGAAGTGATGTTTTGAGAGTCAAGGCCAAAATCTCATTCACAATCATTGAGTGTTCTCTTGCAGGTGTCTGTCTTTGACGTTAGTAAGAGTTCTTTACATGATTAAAAAAAATACTGAGATCACACAAGGGTGATTTAAAAAAGCAAACTGTTCCATTGCTCTTTTGTCATAACAAAAGTAGCAGGGTGGAGGGAGAAAAATACTGGATTGGGAGCCAGAAGACCTAGGCTCTTCTCTTGCCTATGTCACTAGCTAGTCATGTGACCTTGGGCAAGTTATTTAAAGTCACTAGGCCACAGTTTCCTCAACTGTAAAATGAGGAGGTTGGATCAAGATGATTTCTAAGGTTATTTCAATCTCTAAATCTCTGAGTAGATGGAAAACAATTGGAATCAATTACATGTATGTATGAGTTACAGTAAATCATGCAAATTGACACTCCTTACTATACTTTCTTGGAGAAATATTCTCTGTTGACCTAAATGCAGTATGACTGGCTTGTGGTGAGATTCTGCCTACATTTTCAAAAGTATTTTTAAAGAATCTGTGGAAATCATCCATGAAAGAGGTTTTCCTGAAAATGATTTTCATAAAGGAAAAAGGTGTTTACATGAGTAAAATGAGCTTAGACTTTTGACCCAATGATGAATTTCATAATACCCCCCACCTGTAGTTCCTTTAACACAAAAAACCAAGTTTCTTCTTATGGCTGTGCTAATAGCATTCCTATTGGTTAGCAAAGTGTCCTGCACGATAATGCATACTGAAGTTTCTTTTTAGTGGGTATGATGTTTTTCTTAATACTGCAACATGCAAGACTGCTCTGATGCAAATATTTGACTTAACTGATAGTAATGTTTATACTTTAAAAAAAATCAATTCTGTTTGTCCATGTGGTAGACATGGAAGATTATAGACTATGAGAAACCATGTAATTTCCTTTTTCAGCTGGAAGGAAGTGAGGTAATAAGATGGGAGAAAAAAACAAGACAAGCTAACAAAGATATACCTCAACCCCACACTGATCGGAGAGAGGCAAGGCTACGTGGAAGAGGACAAATTACATTTTCCACTGTTATCAAACCACAATGTACAAAAATGAGAGGGCAAAATCTGCTTGAAAAGATGGACTTAAACAAGACTGGGGAAAAAAAATGAACATTAGCTTTAAACCTTAAGTACGTAAAAGAACTGGGGGAAAAAAAGGACAATGTTGATGAGATAAAAATCAATGTTTAAAAAGTGCAAATGTGGCTAAGAGTTAACAATTGCAATTGGTTAAAAGACACAGGGCAAACCTGATTATGTTGGCTCTAGTAGCGAGAAAGGGAGCCCTTTTGAAACTTTTCCTAAGCTACAGGAAAAGGAAATGGACTGCCCAAACATACCAGGCACATTTCTTTTTCACCGTGACAGGGCTATTTTTTTTTTTTCTTTCTAGGAAATCACTTCAGAGTATCCAGTGCACAAATCCAGAGGTGATAGGGGATAGAGTGAGTGCCTTTATGACTCTCCTATGCTCCTACAGGCAGTTAGTAATTCTGATGCAGGCAGGGAGAGGCTTCGGTACCATAACATACTGGCACTAGTTAAGGACCCCCTTCTAATGTAACTACATACTACCAGCCTCAAATACTCTTCTGGTTTTAATGTACTGTGGAGTTTTGTCAAAGGCTACTAACAAATTCTACACTCTAATGGTGGATGAATCTGCTATGTTACAGCTTATTAAGCCTTCGATACAAAAGGCACTACTTTAATAAAAGCTTTTTATCCTAGAAATACTGTTTAACTATGACATAGACATTTCTGAGCATTGGAAGCTCAGCCTCAGAAACAGATGTAACAATAAAAAGCTTCCTCATCAATATATACGTTTGTGCATTGTCCATTGTATACAGAGATGATCCACTGCTGGTAAAGTGTGTGCATTGTTACATTTTTTTGGCAGTAATGGTGCTAGATGACACTGAGTCATCCACTCTCTTGTGCACTCTCCATTGTGACCAAGAACATACATTTGTCAGATTCCTGGTTACCACTGGGGATGCAGTCTGTGTATGAGTTCTTTGTGAGAAGCTAACCAGCCTAGGTAGAGATCACCCCAAGCCTTTGGCCTCATTAATAGTCTAACCACCTGGGCTTGGGAGTGTAAACTATCAAAAAAGGACCTTTGCACAAACAGAAGAACTTATTTTTGAGTTCCTTCTACATCAAAACCAAACAATCTAAGCTGATGTCTAGTATGATGCCATTTACTGCGTTTGTTTTTGAAAACAAAATGTGAACGCCACAAATTCCCCTTCTCTTCAGTCTCATGCAGCTGTTTGGTGGAGGAATACAGGTCCTAATTCAATTCTGCTTCCAGTTACATGGATATAATCTCTTTATCTTCAAGCTCAATCCTTTAGTCCTTTCAGTCACACATGTAGCATGGAAACTGCTTATTTGGAAGAGATGCAAAGTATCATGAATCTGCCTTTAGTCTTTTCTCGAGTTATGCCCTGGGGTTTCAGCTCCCAGCTGGTCTGGCTCAGACACAATTGGCTGAAAGACTTGAAACGCAGCCAGTTCAATTCAGCTTTGTCAGAAACCATACAAGGTCCAGACCGGGTTCGGTTCCCCAGTGTTAGCAGAGTGGCATTAGGGTTATGTACACTTCCATTCCTGGTAGAAAAGAGTCCTTTAGGCTTCCTAAAACCATGACAGAAGGAAAAAACAATGTTTGTTAAATGCAAACTAAAGAAAATACAAGGTAGATCACAGACTTAGGAAGAGCAATTTCATTTTCAAATGTCCCTTTTGCTAAAGTTCTGTGCTGGTGTCATGCAGTATGAACAAAAGGACCATTGCTAGTTCTCCGATGTTGTATGATAGAGCTTCAAACAGTAAACAGTAGAGAAGTCTGGGAACGAAGTGAACATTTTCAGAGCTCCTGAAGCACATCTAATACTTGCAAACTCTAACTATTACTTCATACACAGTGAGAGATGGGTGTGGATTTTCTCTCTCCCTCCAAACAAACGACATGAGCCATATTCCATAAACTCATAGACTCTTTAGTCTAATTGTCTGGTTGAGGGGAGGGAAACAATAATAATAATGACATTTATACAGAGCTTTAAGATTTGCAAAGTGCTTTACAAATATCTCATTTTATCTTCACAACAACATTGAGATGGAGGGGCTATTATTATCCCATTTTACAGCTGAGGATACTGAAGTAGGCAGAGATGAAGTGACTTGTCTACGGTCATCTGAGGCAGGATTTGCCCTCGGGGCTCCCAGACTCCAGGGCTAGTGCTCTAACCTAGACTCCTTAACCCACTTCTACTATGGTATCATTCCTGTATGGTAGGCCCTTAAAGTATAAATAGGCTGTATTGGAAGGAGGGAGGGTTATACATTGCTTATTCTACATAGAAATAGAAAGGAGTCCATATACAATGCCTTTGATTGAATTGCTGGAAGATACTGTCATCAATTAAGCAACAGGAGAAAGTTTGCAGATAGCTGGGAAGATGAGACTTTTTTTTTTCCCCAATTGTCTCATGGGAATATGCACAATCAGCCTGTGACAGATTTTCCTAGCCGGAAGGAACCTCTGACCCCCTGAGGGCAGTTTGAGGAATTGGACTTGAGGCAGAAAGAAAGCATTATGTTTGGCACTCTCAAAATAGGACCTTGACTCCCGGAAATCACAAAGCAAGGGTACTTTAGGCCAAAAGGAAGAACATACAAAAAAAATATAATAAGCCGCATTAAATATAGTAAAACCACATTAGTTCAGATACTGCTAATGTAGAATCTAGGGTGATTCAGACAAGACAAAGGCTGAAAAAAATCACCTTTTCTACAATCTATAAAGAGATCTGCTGAGCAAAATTACTGTGAACAAGAATGAAAGGGAAATAGAAATTGGAGTTTTCAAAGTACTGGTGGTTATCCTGAAATAGTTTGTTTTCTTAAGTAATTAAAGTTATTGACAAGGTAGTTATAAGCTGGCTTTATCTGCTTATTAAAGTAAATCCTTAGAGGTATATACTAGCAACACTGGTAGATTAAGTTACCATGTGGATGTGAATTAATAAAAATAATAGTGAGCATTTATATAAGGCTATAAGGTTTGCAACTGTCTGTACAAGTATCATTTCACTGTGTCCCCACAAGAACCCTAGGGAGTAGGTGCTATGGTTATGCCCATTTTACAGATGAGGAAACCGAGAGTGAGAAGGGGAAGTAACTTGCCCAGAGTTACACAACTAGTAAGTGTCTGAGGCAGGATTTGAATTTAGGCCTTCCTGACTCTAGGTCCCGGGCTCCATCTACTCCACTACCTGTGAAAATACTGGGAGGAAAAAGGAAAAGGTGAAATACTGCCTATAATTCTGATTTTTAATTCATACAAATTAATACATCTGATAAGCAAGTCAACAACCCTGATTTTCTCTGAAATTAGCCCAAATCAGTGAGGTTTTACATCGTTAATATTTTCAAAAGATCTACTTTCATTGGTGGGGGGGGGGCACTCCATGCACTGACACAGACTGACCCCCTCCACACTTTATCACATGATTTGCTAGGGCCAAAAGACGAATCTCCTGAAGGTGTTGAGCCTGTAGGCGCTCAGCTGGCCTGCTCCTGAGGGGGCCAATCTGTTAGCAGATGTCTTCCACCCAAGGCCTTTTCTGTTTGGTAAGACTTGCCAAGGCTTGTGCTCCCTCTGCCAATGGCCTTACAGATCTCAGGGTCACCTTTCACTCCTGGTCGAGGCCCCTGGAGGAAGAGCTTAAAGAAGAAAGTTTGCTCTGCAATCAAATTCAGCCTCCAGTAATTTGGATTTTAAAGAACTTCACCTGGGCTTGACTTAAGTATACTAATAAAAAGAAAAAATAATTTGCTAAATATATTAACCACAGTAAGCAAGATTCCAAGGGGTATGCCTAGCTCATTTAAGGGAAGGATGTTTAAGAACTTTACTATATTAATTGACTGCTAAAGGGTACTATTTTTTTTAAATTAATTAATTCGTAGTTTTCAACACTCTCTTCCATATGATTTTGAGTTTTTAATTTTCTCCCCCTCTCCAAGACCGTGTGCAATCTGATACAGGCTCTACATATATATTCATATTAAACATATTTTTAATGGCTACTATTAAATTCAAATGAAGTGTGGGTTTTTCTGGTCATTAAGGCAAACTCATTATGTTTGCCATAATCCCATCTCCATAGATTAGTGAGGTTTGACCTGACCATAATCTTTATTGGTTTCTTCAAAAGCAAATGTATGATTTTCTAAGGCCTCTGAATCAAATCGGAAAAAAAAAATGCAAAAAATGCAGCTCTTCCTTACCGTGCCCTCTGTTGGTACCTTCCTTCCTATTAGCCATCCATGCATCTCCTCAATCATTCAACAAGCATTTACTAGTCGATCAACAAATATTAAGAAGAGGTTTCTATTTGTAAGGCACTACATAAGCAAACCTTAAGGGAACAGATGGGCCTGGAACAATATCCAGAAGACGGACAGACTTAGACCTTCCTGGAGAACAAATATTCTGGCAGACCTTTCTTTACCAGGTAACATGCTGCAATGGCATAGAATGTTAGACTTTGGATTGGGACAACCTGGGTTGGAATCACACCTCAGACACTTGCTAGCTGTATAATCCTTGGACGAGTCACTTAAAAACTCACTGTGACTCAGTTCCCTCATCTATAAAATGAAGGAATTGGACTAGAAGACTTGAGGTCCCTTCTAGCTTTAACTCTATGATCTTAAAATATTTACCAATTATGTGTAAAAGGCTTGTATTAATAATACATGTTACCTGACTCTAGTATAATATTTATACATAAGATATAATGTTATCATTACAATCATGTCTGTTAGTGTTGAAAGTTTTGTCATCTTGTACTAATTCCCAGAAGCAGCTAGGTGGCACAGAGCACTAGATCTGGAGACAGGAAGATGTGAGTTCAAATCCAGCCTCAGAGACTTACTGGCTGTGTGACCCTGGGCAAGCCACTTAACCCTGACTGCTTTGCAAACAAAACAAAACAAAACAAAGAAAAACCCTTAATGATCACAAAGCCACAACAACAATTCTTTCATACCACAACCAGGAAAATAACATGAAAGAAAAATAAGACAAGAAGCTCATACAGGTAGGACTTTTCACTGAAATATTTCTTTTCTGGAACTCATAGAATTAAGTCGAGGTTAGAACATGGAGAATCCCCACAAGTATTGCATGAAAATATTTGATGAAAGGCCACGAAATGGTTGATAACTAATAATTTCATATACTGTCAACCCACTCAATTTAAAAAAAAAAAAAGCTCTGCTTAAGAGTTCTGTTGGTAGCATACACTTGTTCTAATATTCAGTCTCTTCCATAACAACAGTTGATAGCAAAGGGAATAACCAAGACCTGTCAATGGAAGAATCACAGATGGATGGAACTTAGTGCCGGGAGGGACTTTAGACAACATCTAAGTGAAACCCTTTATTGGACAGCTGAAGGAACAGAGGCCCAATGACTTGCTTAATGCCGTACAATCAATTGGTTAAAAAGAAATCACTAATGGAGATTCAACATATTTAAATATATTTTTAGTAACTGAAAATTCAGTCCATGGAAACTGATAGGGATGCAATTAGAATTGTAGGATTTAGAGATGTAGGGGATGTTAAAGACCTTCTATCTATACCAGTCTTCTCATTTTATAGATGAGGGACTTGAGGCTAATGACTTGCCCAAGGTCATACAGATAGTCAACAAAATAGCCAGAATTCAAACATAGGCATTTTGATTTTAAGTCCTCCTGATATTCCAATACAGTATATTTATTATTCAAATTTAATTTTCAGGGTATCATGATTCAGTATAAAAAGCTTGAGAAAATAGTTCTTTAGCCTAATTAACATATGCAAAGGGGTCCTATTTTCTCTCTAAAAAAATGCACGTTAGATAGGATGCTGAGCACCCTTTGTGGTTATTATGTGCTACCCGTCCTCAGTAGCTGGATTCTCTCAAAGCTCACAATTGGTGAATACAGGCAAGGCATTATATGAACAGGCTCAAGTGGTCAGTGGGCATAACTCAGAGAAGGTGGGATGGACTCACTTTCTGACCTCACTCCCTTCTCTGCTTCCCAGCTGGGGCAAGGGCACATGTGTTCTCTTCTACCCACGCGCTGACCATTCACAGACAAAAGTCCATACTCTTTCCCACCCAGTAAAGGAACACACACACACACACACACACACACACACACACACACACACACACACGTGTTATTCTAATTCACAAACTATTTTCATTCAGCAAACATTTATTAAATGCCTTAAAAATTAAAGGCTTTAGATCCAGAAGAGGTGTTAAGGATCATCTAGTTCGGTTTACTTTTTGATATTCGTGCAGGTCCCAAAGTGCTTTATTTATAGTTATCTCATTGGAGTCTCCCAAAAACCCCCATCAAGCATGTCATGGAGCAGTTATCTCCATTTTACAGCAAGGAAGTTAAGGCCCAGAGAGTTAAAGTGACTTGCACAAGGCCACAGAGCTACTCACAAGAGGAGCGGGGACTCAATCTCAAGGGTTCTGGACTTTAGTCCCAAAGTGCTCTGTCCCCATCCTACCTCAAAATACTGGATAACACATTAGCCTCTTAGTACAACCAGAACCCTATTTATGACCAATATAGCATTTTCCAGTTTGAAAGAGAATTTTAGTAATGAAGGGCTGATCACTGAGGTTATGGAATAAGTTATGAATTTTTGTATACAGGAATTTAATATATTCAGAACCCTTCCAGAAGCCAATTCTCATTACTCATTTTTTTTTTTTTGGTGAAGCAATTGGGGTTAAGTGACTTGCCCAGAGTCACACAGCTAGTGAGTGTTATGTCTCTGAGGCTGTATTTGAACTCGGGTCCTCCTGACTCCAGGGCTGGTGCTCTATCCACTGTGCCACCTAGCTGCTCCCCCCTATTATTCATTTTTTAAAAAAAGAAACAGAATATTAAATTTCTCATCAAGTGTACTCTAAGATGTGAGTAAACTCCATTTCCCAATTACCAACCCAGAACCAGTGTTTTCATTTCAAGGTCCATCTACAACATGCAGATGCTAAGTAAACACTGATATTAATCATCTTTTCTTACCTGGAGGGAAGGTTGGTGAACCATATTCATGGTATCCTCATTCTCTTGCTCCAGTTGGTTTCTAAAAGATAAAGTCTCCTGAGTTAGCGATGGGTCTGTCAGTGTGTTTTGTTGAGACCATTCAGTAGTTTCTGCCAAGTTTTCAGGATGAGATGGAAGTGGAGTCACTGGACCAACCAGGTCCTGGCTACTGTTTGAATCCAAAGTGGCTGAGTTTTCGGTTTCCAGGTTGAGTGAATTTCTCTCTCCTCCATTCAGTTCCAAGTAAGATTCAGAGAGAGAGAGTGTGTCACCGCAGATGGGATTCTGCATGAGTGGCCAGGCGTCTGAGAGCTCGCTGCAGGTAGATTGGGAAATGGAACCAAAGAATGTTGGAAGCATTTCCCCCACTGAACTCGCATTCCTGAGAGGGCAACAAAACAAAAGTAAAATTAAATTAAAAAAAGAATATCAGTAAAAACTGAATGGAGAAAACTTATAAAAGACTGATGTCCAGAGACATTAGAGCAACAATTACCAAACTCTTAGAAGAACCTGTATACAGCTCTCTGAATCACAATGTAATACCGCCTGCTATCCTAATTTACTTACCTCACTGATTTAAGCTAAAACAGTTCATTTGCTTTTAAATGGATCAGTCACCCAATCAGTGGAGTAACAAACATCTTTGAAATGCCTACTATGTGCAAGACCCTGTGCTAGGACCTGAGGATACAAAGACAAAAATGAAAAAGTCCCTGCCTTCAAGGTGCTTACATTCTATTGAATATCCATAAAACTATCCAAACCAGATAGTAACCCGAAAAATCCATCTCCAATAAAATCATATTTGCACTTAATTCAAAGTCTTGCATAGGGATTAAGTGTATTCAATCATAAAAGTAGAAATCATAAAAGTACAGCAGAAACAGTACAGGTGGAAGGTAAACTAGAAGAGTGCTGTATTGTAAAGCAGCTATAAGTGGATTTGCCTAATTTGGGGGCATTTCACAGAAAAGTAATCAGATGTCCCACATGACTTCTCTTCTTAAATTCAGTATTTAGAGACAGAGAGGTCTATTTTGGCATTGGTAAGTCAGTCAATTCATTGCTTGTCCTTGGAGATGTGAAATGTCATGAATGTCTAAACTTACCTTTCATGAAAGGTGGTCCCGGAGTGGAGAGCACAGCCCCGAGTGCCATGATCCATGCTACAGGTCTCATCACAGCACAAGGAGGGAATCAAGTGAACTGGTCCTATGAAGCATACAAGGGTTTTTAAAATAGGGTCATGACTAATGTGGAAATATGTTTAATATGATTGTACACGTATAGCCAAATCAGATTGCTTGCTGTCTTGAGGAAAGGGGGAGGGAAGGGAGAGAGAAAAGAATTTGGAGCTCAAAGTCTTATAAAAGTATATGTTGAAAACTAAAATAAATAAATAAAATTTCGAAATGAAATGAAATAAAATAGGGTCATGAGATTCCTTCACGTAACTCCCATTGCAACATCATTCAGTTCAACAATTCGACATGCATTTCTTAGGGCACTGGGGTTACAATAGCAGAACCCACGTAGTCTCTGCCCTCAGGAAGTTTGAAGGGGATTCAACATGGACACAAGAAAGTAAATACAAAGGATATACAGCATAATACAAAACAATTTCAAGGAGTGAGGGCTAATAATGGAGAGCATCAAGAAAGGAAACAACAGATCCTATGTGGTAGAAGATTAGAAGGGAGTGCATTCCAGACGTGGGAACCCCATACACAAAGACATTATCACAAGAGATGAACTGTCATGCATGGAAAATAACCTTGCTCTTCTTTAAAATTTGGTTTTATTTTTTCCAGGTTTTTTTTTCTTCCCCTCCCCACCATCAGTTCAAAATGTAAGTGCATCCTTGAGTCCAGGCAGCAGCCAAACTAGGCTCATCTCCACTCACGAGATGCCACCTCTTATTTCCCAGCCTTTGCACCGGGTGGCTACCATGTTTGAAATATGCTTCCCTTGCCTTTGTCTCTTAGAACTCCTAGCTCCCTTGCAGGAATTGTTTAAGGGCCACTCAATTTTCCAGATTTTTCTTGATTCTCTTGCAATTAATTGAACATGTATTTCCCCAATGAAACATAAATCCCTTGAGGGTTGGGACTGTCTTGCCTTTGCATTGGTATCCACAGCACCTAGCACAAAGCATGATACACAAGCAGGCTCTTAATAAATGCTTCTTGGTTTATTGACTGGCTTGGTTCTCAAAATAGTATTTGTCTTCTTTAAAATAACTTGAACCATTGAGAATCAAATGCAAACTTGTGCACCCTACTAAGGTTGCCACCCCCCAGTTCTTCACCTCATCAGGCCATAAATCAGAGCATTCAGAATAGGCAGGAGTTCTTAAAACTCTTTGGTCCCAAGAGCCCTTTGTACTCTTAAAAATTATTGAGGACCCTCAAAAGAGCTTTTGTTTGTGTGGGCTATATATATATTTACTCTACTAGAAATTAAAATGTCTTAATATTACTATGAAAATAGTTTTGACCTTGGAAACTCCCTTGATAAGAATCTTAGAGATGCTCAAGGGTCCCCAGACTACACTTTGGGAAGTACTGGATAGGAGATAGGGACTTAACCTGAAATTTCATCATTATAGAGAATTTCTAGGTAAAGAAACTTCCCCTATTAATACATGCTGGTACCTTCTCTTCACTTACAGTCTTGGAGAGTTGCCTAGGATGCTAAAAGGTAACATGACTTGCTCAGGGTCTCACAGTGATCATGTTTCAAAGGTGGGACTTGAACCCAGGTTTTCCTGATTTTGAGGCCATCTCTATTCATCTTGCCTTTCTGCCTCTAACTAGAGTGGTCGTCTGCACATATGATGTTGTGGCACTGAAATCATGCCATTCCTGAGTCTACCTGCCATTAATTCATACATTCGGTCATCATATAAAAATATGCTCATTGCTATATCAGACACTACAGAGAATACAAAGATAAACAAAATTCCTAGCTTTGTATGCAGCATACATTTAATAAACTCATTGTCTTGTACTGAAGATAAATGTATTTAATTTCCATTTGTGAGCAAATGCATTATCTTCGTGTGGGAATAAATCAAAATAATTAGTAAAAGTTATTTTCTCACATTTTTAGCTTTATGCATATAATTTTGTTGTGCACAAGTATATTCTATAAACTTTGTTCTCTCATGAACTTCAAACAGATCTTTTAATTCTGTGCTTCACATTCTGAATCCTAGATGGAAACCCATAAAAAGACTTTCCACTTGTACCTCTGATGGGAGCAAAACTCAGTCTTCTGTAAAAACTCAAGACTTTTTAACTCCCAGCCCCTTGGGTTATCCCCTCATCATGTTAATATGATTTTGGAGAACTATATCCTTTCTCTAGGCTCCTTCTGGTTGTCTCACTTGGTATTACTGATAGTTACCGTTGATACGGTGATTAGAACTGTTGGGAGAAAACATTTTTGTATGGACATTTCTAAAAATCATTTGGTTTCTTCAAGGTTTTCTAGGATGAAGTCCCATGTACACAATTCCTGGGTTCAAGGCCAACAGATCTCACACATCAATTTAACTGTCAACAATTGAACTCTCAGAACTACTTTATAGGAAAGGCAGGAAACAAACACTTGTCTAAACAGGCAGGGTGTCAGGTTGTTTAAATGAAAGCTCCATTGACCCCAAGCAATGAAGAGGAACTCGCCCAGACATTCTAGGGTTTTAATGAGGTGACAATTTTCTTTTAACACTTAGAATCAGAACCAAACCATCAGAGAGAAAGGGGGGATAATATGACAATACCATTTTTAACTAGGAGTTAAAGCAGAGCATCTCAATTCCTAGGTATGTGTGCCCAATTCCTTCTGTTCCCACTTCCTTTGGGTTATTCTTATTCCTCCAATATGCTCGTAATGAGGCCTTACTTACCACAAGTCTGTGCTGAATCTTGATGGCATTGACAACAAGTTCTGTGAGGATATTCATTAAGTTGAGGTCTGTCAAAACATGACAACTCTGACCCATTGTACTGGATATCCTGTGATCTCATAGACCCTGTTGGGAAAGAGGGAAGAAGAAGAATGCATCAAGCTAACTCTTTGTTTTTGCACTTTTCTTTATGAAGCATAAATTAACATGAGCATGTGGAAAATTCCAAACTAACCTTTTCTAGTTTTTTTTTTAAGATAAGAGATCTAACATTTTCAATTCCTGGTAGGTTTAATCTTAAAATGAGATCATTAAACATGGAAAACCATTTGTCAAAAAATCTATAAAAGTGGTAGGACTCTCAGGTTACAAAGAATTTCAATGTGCATTTTTATCTAGTGGCATTAAGATGTTTCATACTTGTCAACATTTCTATAAAAGTGCCATTCATTCTGTACCTCCTTCTTCTCCCTGTCCTCGGGCCTCCCTGAGACTAAAAGACTATAGGGTTTATTTTCATTTATCTCCGATTACTTTAACAGTTCACTGGTTCTCATTTTAGGCAGGTTTCCTGTCAAGCCCTTTAATGGCCCTAGTGATAATTCACTTCTCCAGTTTCTTACTTGGAAACAGAAATAGTTAGAGACTTACAGCGCGGCTTCTTCTCCATGAACTGCCTCTTACAGTAGATGACACAAAGGATGAGCAGGGCCAACAGAACAGTGGCCAGTGCGCTACAGATCACAGCCGCCAGAGCTGTGTCTCTTGGACTGGAGGTGGTGGAGGGAATCTTCACAAGGTTTACTTTAGTTGTACCTGAAACAGAGGGGAAAGACTGTCAGAGTTAATGTTATAACAAGTAGAACAAAGCTGCTAACTCTATGGTGAATAATCATACTGCTGATCCTCTGCCCTATGGTCAGACCACATTTGGAACACTGGGTTCAGTTATGGGCACCACATTTGAGGAAGGGCATGGATGAGCTGGGGCACAATCAGATAGAAAGAGACCAAGAACGGCAAATGGCCTCAGGACAATGCCATCTGAGGATTGGTTGAAGGAAATGGAGATGCTTAGCCTGGAGAAGACTTAGGGAAGGGCATAATAATGTGTTGTTGGGAGTCAAAAGATCTCAGTTCTAACCCCAGCTTGTCCTTTGCTATGTGACCTTGAACGAGTCATTTGACTTCTCTAGCCTTTACTTTCTTCATCTGTAAAATTGGTATGCTACATAAGAAAAGTCTTTAAGTTCTCTTCAGCTTTGTAGTTATTGTCCTAATTATAGGAAGGGCTGCCATGTAGAAGGGCCCTCTCTGAAGTATCTTCTAACTCTGAGGGTATGTGATTCTGAAATTAACCCATTGTAAGCAATGTATGAATAAAAACGAAGACTACATATTTCCAAGTGTACGTCATATACAATAAGGTTAAAAAAGAGGAGAAAAATCTCTCCTGTCATATTTTGCAGGTTATGCTGAGAGAAACACACATTTTAAAACTAGGAAAAAATTATTGGATCATTCTTGATTAAATATGGCATCTGAATGATTCAAATATCCTAACTGCTACATTGGTCAATTACAGGTATGCCTCCACTTGCTAAATTTTGGAAAAAAGACTGTCGTAACATAGAATGGTCACCATAATAAAACCCAAGTAAGCAACATTATTAAGTAAAAAAAAAACTGTTTCTAGTTCAACTAAGGAACGTCTATATTCCTCCTTTGCCTCTACCACATTCTATTTTGTATTATGCTTATTTCTGGATGTCATTCCTCTGCCTCATTATGAAAATAGACTGTAAGCTCCTAGAGGATTTACAATGTATTTGACACCAAAACTATCCTGAACATAATTATACATCACTTGCTGAGTGAACTCTGGGTGAGTATGTGAAGGAAGAAAACGGGTATTTAAAAGAAAGAAACAAGTATTTAGAGGAAGGAAACAAGCACCTATTATGTGCTAGTCACTGTGCTAAATGCTTTACAAATATTATCTCATTTAATCCTCACAACAACCTTGGGAGGTAGGTGCTACTGTTATCTTCATTTTAGATACGAGGAAACTGAGGCAGAGATGAAATGACTAGCCCAGAATCTCACAGCTAGAAATTGTCCAAAGCTAAATTTGAACTCAGGTCTTCCTGACTCTAGATCCAGTACTCTATATACTGTACCACCCAGGCTCCTTTAGCAACTGTCACAGTCAATACACTGTAGAGGTGTTTAACAGAATCTCTAAGAATTCCATAACATGGAATTTGCTGTCACTTTCAATTCCTTAATTTAGATACTCTTCCATTCATCTGCAATGGTCAAATCATAGCTTTTTTAAAAGGCTCTGAAAAGGTCACTTACTTTAATGCTTTATAAATTCATCTACTTCAATTTCTTCATTTTCCAACAATATTAATTAATGATGGAAATATATTAGGCTTCTTCACCTTTGAAATGTATTTAAACCAAGAAAGTAAATCTGTTTTTTAAGCTGGGCAAATGCTCTGTTCTTCTCACCCCTGTTATGCAGAGAATCTCAAAATGTTAAAGCTACAAAGAAGACTTAATCTAGCCCTTTCATTTACAGAAGAGAATCCAAGGAGTTAGATGATTTTGCTGGTCAGTTGTTTTAGTTGTGTCTGACTCTTTGTGAATCCATTTGGGGTTTTCTTAGCAAAGATACTAGAGTGGCTTGCCATTTCCTTCTCAAGCTCATTTTACAGATGATGAAACTGAGGCAAACAAGGTTAAGTAACTTGCCCAGGGTCACACAGCTAGTAAATGTCTGAGTCCAGACTTGAATTCAGGTGTCCTGATTGCAGGCCCAGCACTTTATCCAGTATGCCACCTAAAGTCACATCAAGCTAGTAGAAGAGCTGAAACTAGGGCCCAGTCCTCTTGATTCTTGGCCTAGTATTCTGCATAACATTGCGCTAATTCCACAGGTGAAACACAAGAGACAAGGCTATTTCATTAGTTTAAACTTGATAAGATCAATAAATCAACAAGCGCCTACTTGTACCTACAATTAAGCTCCTACTATGTGCCAGGCACTGTACTGAAGGTTGGGGGATACAAATAGAAAGAATGAAAAAAACCCTATTCTCTAGAAGTTTATATTATTATGGAAGAAACAAGTATCAAAGTAAATCTAGATATCAATAGGAGCTGAACTGGTGATTTCATTGGGGAATGTCATAACCTAATCTCCAACATATAGTCTTAGTTGCCTAGAACTCAGAGAGATTGTGACTTACCAACCCAGTGTCAGACAACCAGTATATGTCCAAGCCAGGACTGGACCTCAAGTTTCCCTGGCCCTGAGACCAAGTGTCTATCCACTATACCACACTGTCCCTCGTATGTAAGTATATACAGAATAAATATAAAGGAAATAAATGCAAAGATAATTTGGGAGGAATGGTACTAGTGGTAGGGATTAAGAAAGGCTTCACGAAGAAGGTTGTTTTTGAGTTACATCTTGATGAAACAAAGAGATTCTGTGAATCAGAAGTGAGGAGCAAGTTCATTCTAGGGACAGGAAATGGCCAATTCAAAGCTCTAGAGCTGGGAACTGGAGTGTCACATATGAAGAACCCAAAGAAAATATGAGAGACAGTCAGGTGGCCGGATGGTAGAGTATGGGAGAAGGCTAATGTACAATGAAGTTGAAAAGACAGGTTGGGGCCAGGTTGTGAAGGGTTTTCAAGACCAAACAGAAGAGGTTACATTTTATCCTAGAGGATTTAGGGAGCAGTTGGTGGCAATGGAGTAGGGAAGGCACATGGACAGATACAAATCTTAAAGAAAAATGCTTTGGCCTCAGTGTGCGGGATGGACTGGGGTAGGGAGTAGCTTGGAGCAGGGAGACCCATTGGAAGGTTGTTGCAATAGTCCTGGTGGGAGGTGATAGGACTAAAAGAAGGCAGTAGATGTGAAAAGAAAGAAGGTGTCATATTAGGAATGCTGTAGAGGGAGAAACAGCGAGATTTGGTGTTTAGATATGTGGCATAAAGGACAGTGGGGGTCAAGAAAAATGCCTATTAGACTGGAAGGATAGCCTCGCCTTCGAGTGAAGTAGGAATATTTGGAAGAGGGAAAGGTTTGGGGCAAGGGAGCAGATAATAAGTTATAGTTTGGACATACTGAGCAATTGATAATGTGAGATTGAAGTTCAAATGAAGGGATTGGGGCTGGATACACAGATCTGTGAGTTATCTAAATAGAGATGAAAATTAAGCCCACAGAAGCCAATAGGTAACAAAGAGCCCAAGGAACTTGACATTTTAGAACCTGAATGCTCATTTCCCAAGATCTGATGTCTCTTACTGTAGTAGAAAGGAATTGGATTGACAACAATTCCTAGAATAATTTGGACAAATCTGGCCTGGGTATCCAGTAACCCTGCTAACAAATATTTTAAATAACATTTACTTGCAAGTATGCCTGGTATTTACAGGTGCATTTTATCACTTAAAACCCTGTGGAGATATCATCATCAATAAAAAATCTTATTAAAATGCTTATCTTTGTATGGTGCAAATTAAGCAGGCGTTGTCCCTGACCTCTCAGAGACAGAAATCTATGATGGCTTATGTCAATGTGGACAAATGAATAAAAAGATATGTAGACATGGTGGCTGCTGAACAAACATGGAAAAAGAAATAACAACCAAAGTTTATATACAATTAAATCAAATTATGTTATAGAGTTGAAAGTGAACGAGGAAATGTCCAAGCGACACAAGTGGTGCTGGTAGAGTCCACTGAACTATCATTTCTGTTGAGTGAAAGTAAATTCTACTCCAAGTTAACTAGCTTTAACTAACTATCTTACCAAAGAAAATATAACATCTTAGAAATAGCTGGTTTGGGGGAGGATAATGGGACATTTTTGATATTGTTAGTTGCCAAACTTCAAGTCAGCCATCCTAACTATCAATCAGTTATCAAGTATTTATTAAGTGTCAACAATGTGCCAGGTACTGTGCTGGGCACTGGAGATACAAATACAAAAATGAGATGGTCTCTGGCCCTAAGGAGCTTATATTTTATAGAAGTAGACACAGTATTAACTCTTATGTTAAGATCACTGATCGTCTGTAACGAATTCAGTAAGACTGAAATTAAGTGAAACACAATGGGGAATGGGAATGTTCTAATTGAATTTTCATCTTGAATATTATTAATTGTGGAATGTTAGGGCCAAAAGGGGCCTCAGATATCTAATTCCTTCACATGACAGATGAGAAAAGAGGCAGCGAGGTGGTACAGTGGATAGAATGCTGGGCCTGGAGTCAGGAAGACCCGAGTTCAAATCCAGCTTCAGGCACTCACTAGCTATGTGACCTTGGGCAAGTCACTTAACTTCTGTTTGCCTTAATCCAGTGGAGAAGGAAATGGCAAACCACTCCAGTATTTTTGGAAGAAAACCCCATATGGGGTCATGAAGAGCTATACACAACTGAATGACTGAAAAATAACAGATGAAAAAACTGAGACCTTAGAGAGGTTGTAATTGGCCCAGGGTCCTGGCAAGCTAGCAGTGTTAATTCAAAGGTTACCAGAAAACCCTTTTTTATTTCAACCCTTGTTGGAAATCTAACATTTATAAATCAAATATTTATTAGCTTATTTTCTTTCTCAAGTAGAATTTAATAAATACAATTTGATGCATCTTTCATGATTATTTATGGTATTTTAGGCTCATTTGAAAAATAAGTTTTATTTATGCTTTTTGTTTTTACTTCACAATCATTTTTGGATATACCCCAGACTCACCCACTCATTGAGCCTCCCATCATTACAAACAAAATG